ATAATTATTGTGGTGATTATTAAATTACAAAATAAGAGTAATGTGATGATGATAATATATAACCATTTGATGGTTGTTTCTAATGTCGATTAGATTGTGAAGAATAATGTTCTATATGTATTGATGGAATATGTGAAATGTGTTTAATTGGATATGAAATAATAGATGGAAGTTGTTATTCTATTTGTGGAGATGGTATAATTACTGTTCATGAGGATTGTGATGATTAAAATTCTATTAAACATGATGGATGCGATTAATGTAAATTTTAATGTGATTAAAATTGTTATTTTTGTGAATTTGGTAAATGTATATTTTGTTCAAATGGATATTACTTATTAAATGGAGTGTGTATTCCTGTTTGTGGTGATGGTATAATTGCTGGTAATGAGGAATGTGATACAGGATTAATTTATTTTGATGGATATGAATGTGTGAATTGTAAATTTAAATGTTCAGAAGGATGCAATAATTGTGTTTATGGATAATGTTTAGAATGTAAAAATAATTATGGATGGTATTTAAATTTAAATAATTAATGTGAATCTAAATGTGGAGATTTAATTATCAATAATTAAGAGAATTGTGATGAGAATTCACAAAATTGTGAAAATTGTAATTTTATTTGTGATGATAATTGTAATTAATGTTAATTTGGAATTTGTTAAAGTTGTATTCTAGGTTATAAATTACTATTAAATAAATGTATTAGTATTTGTGGAGATTAAATATAAACAAATAATGAAGATTGTGAAAATGATGATATTATCCCATTTGATGGTTGTTACTTATGTAAATTTTAATGTTAAGATGAATGTTAATAATGTGTAAATGGAGAATGTATATCATGTAATGAAACTTAAGGATGGTATTTATAAAATAAAAGATGTGTGTCAAAATGTGGAGATGGTATTATTGCTGGATTAGAAGAATGTGATATCAATTTGAATTATGATAATGGAGATATTTCATTTAATTAATGTTTTAATTGTAAATTATCTTGTGTTTAAAATTGTTTAAATTGTGATAGAGGAATTTGTACATTATGTTAAAATGGATATTTTTTAAATAATTTAAATGAATGTGAAAATATATGTGGTAATTTATCTACTGAAGACTTTGAAGTATGTGATGATGATAATCTCAATGGTTTTGATGGTTGTTTCTAATGTTAATATGATTGTTAATCTAATTGTTAAGTATGTGTAAATGGATAATGTATTTTATGTGAAGATGGATTTCTATTTGATTAAGATACTTAAACATGTTAATCTATATGTGGAGATATGAAATTAACTTAATATGAAGAGTGTGATGATGGTAATGATATACCATATGATGGATGTCATAATTGTAAGTATTCTTGTACTGAAAATTGTGATAATTGTATAGAAGGTGTTTGTTAAAGTTGTTAATAAGGTTTCTTACTTGCTTTTCCGAAATGTATTCCTGATTGTAAAGATATAATTTAGATTAATAATTATGATTAATGTAATTTAAAAGAATGTTAAAGAGAATGTATAATTTGTATAAAAGGAGATTGTTATTAATGTTAAAATGGATGGTATTTGAATTAAGTAGAATATATTTGTGAAAGTATGTGTGGAGATTAAATTATAGTTGGTTAAGAATAATGTGAAAATTTGTTAAGTTATACAAGAGATGATTCTTAATGTAATAATTAATGTTAATTTGAATGTCCTTATAATTGTTATAGTTGTTCATTTGGTATTTGTTAAGAATGTTAATAAGGATATTATTTAATAGAAAATGAATGTCATAATTATTGTGGTGATTATTAAATTACAAAATAAGAGTAATGTGATGATGATAATATATAACCATTTGATGGTTGTTTCTAATGTCGATTAGATTGTGAAGAATAATGTTCTATATGTATTGATGGAATATGTGAAATGTGTTTAATTGGATATGAAATAATAGATGGAAGTTGTTATTCTATTTGTGGAGATGGTATAATTACTGTTCATGAGGATTGTGATGATTAAAATTCTATTAAACATGATGGATGTGATTAATGTAAATTTTAATGTGATTAAAATTGTTATTTTTGTGAATTTGGTAAATGTATATTTTGTTCCAATGGCTTTTAATTATAAGGTTAAAAATGTACTCCAGTTTGTGGAGATGGGTTAATTGTTGGAAATGAGAAATGTGATGATGGTAATATAATTGATGAGGATGGATGTTTTGAATGCCAATATTCTTGCTAATAATAATGTTAAACTTGCTTATATGGATCATGTATCTTATGTAAGGAAGAAGAAGGTTGGCGTTTAACTTCACAAGGAGATTGCTAAACAGTTTGCGGAGATAATAAAGTTGCTGGGATAGAATAATGCGATGATGGCAATGAAATGAATTATGATGGTTGTTATTTATGTAAATATATTTGCCAAGATGCTTGTACAAAATGTGTAAATGGTTAATGCTATGAATGTAATACACCAGGTTGGAGATTAGAAAATTATTTTTGTTGGGAAATATGCGGAGATGCACTTAAAGTTGGTATTGAAGAATGTGATGATGGTAATGATATCCCTTATGATGGATGTTTTGAGTGTAAGACTTAATGTGAAGAAGCTTGCAAGATTTGTGGAGATGGATAATGTTAGGAATGTATATTTGGTTGGCTTTTAAATGAAAATCATAGATGTGAAACAATTTGTGGAGATAAATATATAGTACCTATTTTTGAAGATTGTGATGATGGCAATCTCTTACCTTATGATGGATGCTATGAATGTAATTATTAATGTGTTTAACATTGTACTGATTGCAGAAAGGATGTATGCTACGAATGTAATACAACTGGGTGGACTTATGAGAATAAAACTTAACAATGCATTCCTATATGTGGGGATGGAGAGATCAATGGATAAGAATAATGTGATGATGGGAATAAAATTGAACTTGATGGTTGTAGTAATTCTTGTGAATATTAATGTCATTTTGCTTGTCTTAATTGTGATAAAGGTAAATGTTTAGAATGTGATCGATATTTGGGATTTTTTGAATCGAATAATTAATGTGCATCAAAATGTGGAGATGGTTTATGGGAAGAATATACTGAGTAATGTGATGATGGCAACCTTATTAATTAGGATGGTTGTGACAAAAACTGTAAGATTGAAGTGGATTGGTATTGTAAAAATGAAGCATTACAAATTAGTATTTGTATCTTCAAAAGATAGCCTTGTGTTGAATTAAAGTTACTATCATAAGAAGAGGGATTATCTAAAATAGAAGTGACATTCTCAACTTTAATGATGTCTTAATAAAACAACATCATGATTGAAAATGAAAATAATCCCACAATGACTGACATGTAGCTTTTCTTAGTCAGAGTTGATGAATTAAATGAATCAGATTTTGAATATGCTATAGAACCCGTAGTTGCCATTTAAGAATTTGCTTAAGAAGTTAAATATATCATAGATTTAAAAATATTAAAGAATATTTCAATTGATTAAATAAATGTTATGGTAATTGTTGATAAAAAATTGATTATTACTGAAGATTTTGTCAATTTAGAATAAAATTCAGGTCAAATTAAAATAGCAGTACCTTTTATGGAAAGTGAACTTTCTAAAAAAGTAGTGGAACTGTTTTCGAATGCAAATGAAATATCTATGTATGCAGCTATGAGTGTTTCTTTATTAAGTGTATTTACTACAGGTTATTCAAATCTTTATATGACTCTAGATACAATTTAATATCTTTATTACACTAGATATATTAATCTAGATTTTCCTTAAAATTTACAATAGAATATGGACAATCTAAAGAAGTCTTCCTTGACTTCAATCGTTAATAATAAACTTTCTGAAACAGGCTTATCCAAAAAGATTATTGCTCAATCTAAAGACAATAATTAAAAAGATTAAGGAATGCCAAATAAATTTAAATAAGATAATCTGCAGTATCAATTTAGTTCAAATATAAAAACAACTGCTGTCTCATTATCAGCAGGTCTGAGCATCTTCTTAACAACTTTATCTCTATCTAAACTACTTCATTTGATTCCACCTCATAAGCTAGATGATTTGGGTTCGATAATTGGAGGGGGAATCTTAAAAGTCAGATAAAAATGTACTAAGATATCTAATGATTTTGTTTATTCTGGTGCTATAAGATTAATAACGATTAATTTTTATGAGATGTAATTTGCATCATTATTATAACTATCAAATGTTAGTTTTAATTCATATAATGATATAGCAAATAATAGTGGGGCTGCTGCTACTCTAGCCTTTACTTTTATTTTTACTAGTTTACTTATTCATAAAATAAGATAGATCTAAACTAAATAATCTCTAGCAATGAAACATTATATTATAACTTTATTCTAATCAGATGAGAAGAGTCATTTAAAGTCAACATGGTAGGTGTAATATAATACAATTTTGCTTGTGAAAAAGTCATTTTATATGTTAACGATAGTTAGTTTTTAAAGTTAAGGCCTTTATTAAACAATTGGTGTTGCTACATAAGCTGCAGCATTTGCAACTTATTTGGCTGTATCTTCACCATTTTCAAATAATGAGGATCAAATTAAACAAATGATCACAGAATTAGGAATGGTTACAAATACTCTTAGCTTTATTATTTACTATACGCATGAATACTTTTCAATATCAAAAGAAAGTTTAAATTAAATTGGATGGTTTAATATAGGCATTTTTACAACAGTATTAACTTCAAATTTAGCAATTGATCTTACTTCTTAAATTAGAATATTTTACAAAAAAGCAAAGAAGATTTTCAGTAAATTTATTTAAGGCTAGATGCCTACTTAATCAAGAGTTTAACCAATTTTTGTTTGATAATAATATTAGTTTTAAAAACTATATTAAAGTAATTTATTTTTATATTTGATATTTTTCTCAGAATTTGAATGTTTTTCAATTTCTAAATAAATATTAATATATTTATTTTAAGTGTTAGTATATAATAAAATTTTGTATAAATTATTAGTTATGAAAATATTATTCTGGTTAATCTCAAGGTGTTATTTGTGGTTACCTCGAAAAATTCAGAAGTCTGTTTAAAAATCTTTATTGTTACAACAGGGAATTGACTAAACACAAAAAGTAAAATTTCAAACTTAAATTAGATTGAGTTCTCTAATGGAGAAGTACAAAAGATCACCAATTTTGAAAATGCAAAGAATAATATCAAATTAATTAGTGTATGGAAATGTCTTATTTTTTTAGATTAAAACTATTATAGTGATATTTATAGAAAAAATTATTAGTATTGAGAATATTATAATACTTGGAATTCTGATTATAGTAATTTCTGGATAAACTTATTGTTATGATAAAAACGAAGAAATCATTGTATATTATACTCTTTTTTGTTATCTCTTTAATCTTTTATTATCTCTAATAAACATATTAATAATTGCATTTTAGCGAATGACATAATAAAATTCAATTAATTCTTAGGATTGCATCATCATAGCTAAATTTCCAGATGTTTCATCAAAAAAACATTTAAATTAAAATATTGAGTAAATTAAATAATTATGATTTAATAGATTGCATTCATATGAAACAATTACCTGGAATTAATTAACAGTTGGTCATATTGTTTGTTTAGAATAAAATTAATAGAGTCCTGCTGATTTATTAATCCTTGATTCAAGTAAAGAACAGGTCTTAATAAACTTTGATTAACGAACTCCTTGTTCTTGCACTTTTGTTAGTTTAAATTAAACTATAAAAGGAAATATTTTAGATTTCAAAACAAAATTAAGTGGAACGATTTAATTTACTGTAACAGATCTTGCAGTACAAGGAACTATTAAATTGAAAAATGACCCAAAATTAACTCCTTTTACAAAAAAGAATATGATTCAAAGAGGGGAAAGATTGGAAACAGTTGATTGGATATTTGGAATGGTAATTAGAGTAGGGAATGATTGCATAGCTTAATCAAATTTTTATAATGAGAATTTTAAATCCTCTAGTTGGATAAATAATATTTATTAGGAGATTATACTTATTTGTATTGTTTTGTTTTTAATTTTATTTGTTCCAAACATCATATTTTATTCATTTTAATCATATGAAAAGTACTTTTATAGCAGTATAAATTATTGTTTATTAATAATACCCTAAAATTTATTATGGTTAAATTAATTATGGCATCTAATAAATATGATAAGAAATAATATTACTTTTAATAACAATTAAAATAAATAAAGTATCCAGTAAAATCCTTTGAATAGAATATTAAGTGAAAGAAATGAAAATCAAGTTGTTATTATTTCTGAAAATGAGAAAAAGGTTCTATTACCAATATAAAAGTAATTTAAGATAAATCTTCTACCTATTTAATAAACAGAAATATAAATGTTGAAAAAAAAGAAGAAAAATTTCAAAGGATTTTTAACATTATCTTAAATGAATATCCTTGATATGATTTAAGGAGATATGATTTTACTAGATAATCCTTAAGAAATATTTAAAAATAAACCATAAATAATGTAAATTATTACAAAAGATTAAAAATAATATATTTTTAATTATTAAAAATTGTAAGAATTAGTAACAAAAGCATCTCCAACTTTAAAAACTAATTATGAAAAATTATTACTAGATACAAATAGATAATAGACTAATGATGAATAAAAGACATAAGATTTAGAAGTATTATTGGCAGAAAAAATAGTACCTAATTTAAGAAATTCAAATGAAGGTCTTTATTAAATAAAAAAACTTTAATTAGCATCAAGGGAAGAACTTGTAAATAAAACATTATTAGGCACATAAAAACAATAATTACCTAAAAAGAAAAGTACAAGATATATCTTTGATTAATCTTTTGCAAAAAAATCACTTGATAGAGTGGACTCAATGAAAGACCTTAATAAATTAAATAATAGTACTTCAAATAGTAATATAACACCTGGTTCTTTATAAAAATAAAGAAGTTAATTTTTTGGTAGAGGAGGAACTCTGATCAAATAATTCAATAATAATTCATCTCTTTAAGTGTCTCCAACAAAATAGAAGGAAGATTAAGGGGCAGATAGATTGATTGGAGATTATTATAATGAATAAGATTTTATTGATTTCCTTTACAAAAAGGAGGACACTCTTCACAATGAAATTTTATTGATGATTCTAATTACAAATAATATTTTAAGTGTTTTTGATGATCAAACTAGGGAACTATAATTTAATTTTGGTAATAAATTTGATGAGTCATTATTGGAATTTACAAAAGTCTTTAATTATTAATTATTATGCAGTACTGAAATTGAGAACTCGAGATTAGATTATAAATTAAAAAGTTATATAAAAAAGGTTATCTCTATAGAAAATTAAGTGAAAGTCTTTGAGGTTTTGGCTATTTTAGAACCAACTGAAAATAGAAAAAATATCTTGTCTGTTTTGGTGAGAGATCCTGAATCATTTCTATTAGAAGAAGGTTCAATACTATATACAAGAATTTAAACTAATGAGTTAAAAAATATATATAAAGAAAAAAATGATATTCATTCAAAATAACCAGAATATTATAATTACTATAATGAATAATTATAAGAATTATTATGGGATGGACAATCAACTTTTATTTATAGTAAAAGATAGTTGAGTCAAGACTAAACATAAGAGTTTTTGTAAAAATTATCCTAATTACATGATGCTTATGGGAATAGATCTTAAGAAATAGAAATGGAATACTAGAAATTAGAATTATAAAATGAAATTTTATTTTGTATAGGTATTAGATCAGGGCATCATCATAACTCAATATAAATTTCATAAAATGAATTTTAGTTAGACTCTTTAAGAGAGGAGAAACTATTTTAAACATTGTAAATGCAAAATATTAAAATTTGTTTAACTACATCAGAGTCATATGAAGAGTTGATTATTTTTCTTAGATCTCATTAAGTGGTATAAAAAGAATAAATTGTTCATTTTTATGAAAGAGATGTGTAGTAATTATAATATAGGTTTAGATAACATATTTAATATATGTTAGATGAATAAGATATTATGGGATGCGATGTTTAAAAACATTTAGAGAAATATATTATTATTAGTAAATAATCATTCAAAATAATATTGTAAGATGATTATCTAAAATATCATTTTGTATTTATGACTTAATTTGCAAGTGGTTTGGGAGCTTATGAATTTACTGGTAAATGTAATGGATAATTAATAAAATTGCTAAAATTAAACAAAAAAAAAATAATCTCTATTGGTAATTCTTTATAAAACAATTATTTATTTAATAAATCAGATATTAGTTTTACTTTAACATAAAATAATCCATTTTTTTGTATCACTTAACCAAATTTTGTAGTTAAAAATATTAAACAAATATTTTAACTTTTTTACTTTTATTGTACTCAGTATTTATAAAATTACATTTCTTTATTAGAAATGCAAATATATAGAAGTACTTTAATAGGATTATCAGTTTTTGGTATTAACATATATTAAAATGATATAAATATATTTATTTTGATGATATTTTTCCTTATTCCCAGTAATTTATTAACTTCCATTTTTTAATAATATTTGCTCATCAATTAAGTAGATTATGATTAGAAATATTTTAATTTTTTTACTAAAAGATTGACTATTCTAAAAAATGAAAGTATTTTAAAATAATTAAGTAAAATTATAATAATTGCAATATTTGATTCATCTTTTTTGATTTTATTAGAAAGGGCACTTATAAATTTAACATATGTAGATGGAAAAATAAATTAAACAAATTAAATAGTTTTGTTGTATACAGGAATTGAACTTTTAGAGAAAAGTAAATTATTATTTATTATTTTTGATACATTTAATGATATTTTATATAAGATGAAACAAATACTTATTATTATATCTTTAACATTAATTTTGGCGATTAGTTATTTGATAGTATAATCAATTTAAGATAATTAATAAATTTCATTACAATTCAATAACACTGGATTATTAGTTTTTATATTTATGGTTTTATTCTTAATAGGCTTATCTTTTGTACTCAATTAATTACTGTAATTTATTAATATTGAATTTTCATTTCCTATTGATAATTAAAAATTAGAGATTTATATGAAAGAGATCAATAATATTAAACAAAACCTTAATTTTGAAAGTAATGAGAAAGGGTAATTTCAAAACATAAAAAAAATGATAGAAACATTATTTGAAAATAAAGATATTGTTGATGAATAGATAACAAAATTTATTAAAGTAGATTAAACAACAATAGATTATATGGATAAAAATCATGGGTTTTATGATAGAAGGACAGAAAATGATTTTATGGATTTCTTTAGATAATAGAATTGGTAAAAATATAATTTATCTTATGTATTTATATTCTATGAAGTAACAATATTTATTTCTCATTTATATGAAATTATGATAAATATTTCTTCAACATCAATACTAATAATAATCATAATCCAATTAATTATATAATTACTTATTGTAATTTTCTAATTCAAATTCATAAATAATAGAATTTCACAATAACACTTATAAATTTTATCATTTGGATTGAGATTCATTTTTAAAATCCTAATAGATCTACTTTATTTAGATTAGAGAAAAGAATTTACTGCTTTTCTATATCATACTTTATTTAGTATATCTTTTGCCCTCACAACACAACCAAAAATTAATATTTACATATATATTGCTTTACAAATTTTAATGTATCTTTTTAATTTAGTATTGGATGGATTTACAATTAAATTTGATAATATTAATGAAGCTATATTTTGTTCTTTTAAATTCTTTTTCATAATAATTGCAATATCATACCCTATCTTTAATTATATACAAAAAATATAATTTCTATAAAGATCATCATATGTTTATCAAAATAGATTAAATAAAGAATAGAAAAAGATTAATAGTGTTTTGGGTTTATTAATGCCACGATTTATATAAGAAAGAATGAATAAAGGTTAAATTTAAATTTCGTAAGATTAAGGAGATGTGAGTGTGTTATTTTGTGACATTTATTAGTTTGATAAAGTAATTAAAGATTAATAAGAAAAAATTATAGAATTTTTAGATACAATTTATAGAGCCTTTGATTAATTGTGTCAAAATTATGATTTATAAAAAATTGAAACAGTAGGAAAAACATATATGGCAGCAGGAGGACTTAAGGATTATGATGTTGTTATAAGTAAATTCAAATCTAATTATTTTAGATTAAAAGAATATCAATAGTACATCTAGAGCTCTTGAAACAGCAATATAAATGATGGAAACAGTTAAAACTATGAAATACGGGGATAATTAAGATGTACAATTAAAAATTGGAATTCATTATGGAAGAGTGATAGCTGGAGTTATTGGTGTTCATAAACCTTAGTTCTCTTTAATTGGAGATACAGTTAATACAACAAGTAGAGTATGTAGTACAGGGGAGGCTGGATTTATCACTTTAAGTGAGGCTGCATATTTAAATATCAAGGACAATACTAAATATTAATTTGAAAAAAGATCAGTTGCTGCTAAAGGTAAAGGGATGATTGAAACTTTTAAATTGATTTTATAATAAAAAGAATCTACAAGAAATTTGAATCCAAAAGTATCTAAATCAGAAAATCAAGATAAAAATTAAATTTAATAAAAAGAACATAAAAAGATTCTGAATTTTAAATCGTCTACAGATAAAAAGAATTAATTTAAAAGACCATTAATTTAACCAGTCTAAATTGGAGCCTTGAATCTGAATGATCATACGAAATCACCAAAAGTTGTTATTCGATAATTACATAGAGATACTCAATCTTCTATGATGGCAAATATGATTTTAAAAAAAAAACCATCAATTGAAATTGATTAAGATGGCAAACGTTTAAATACAATAAAATCTAAATCATTTAATTAAGTACCATAATTTTACTAATTTTAAGAATGATGAAATTTAAATGAAAGATATCAACCATTCTAGTAATGCAAAGACTCCTGGGTTTTAAAAAAATTGGATATAAAAACGTAAAAGTGCTTTAGATAATCTCTTACCTAATGCTTAAATTCAACCCAATAATTAATAAGATTCAATTACTTAAATTTAATTCTAGATAGATCCTAAGCCTTAAGTTTAAGTTGTATCACAATCATGCTAATAACAAATATTTTAATCTGGTGTTAATTTATCTCATTAATCAAATCAATAATAATTTTTAAATTCAGCTGATCAATTACTAAAAGTGTCTGATTAATAAATTGATAATAATAAACAGGAAGGTTTTAATTGTATTCATAGACCATAAATAAAAAAGAGAGGAACAATAATTTTAGGAGAACTAATTTAAAAGAAAGGAGGAATCATAAAATCAAGTACGAAAATAATACTTCCAGAAGAAAGAGAAAAAAATAATTAAATAGTGAAAATATCAGGAGTAGGAATTGATGGTGATTCTTAAATGGAATAAATAAAATAAATCAGAAACTAAAGATCATTGAAATTATAACAACTATAAGATTCTAATTCTGCTTTAAAAAAGAGTCCAGAGTCTATAAATGAAAGATTAGAAGAGATAGAAATAGTGAAAAAAAAGATGATAATTACACCTGAATAAAAGTTTGATTATTAGACATTAGAGAAAATTAAGAAATTTAAACTTGACTATGATGAAAAGTCCACTTTTGAAATTGATAATAGTTAATTCAAAAATAATGATCAATAATTATACCATTCTATTTATGAGGAATACAAAGAATAAGAAAAAATATAGATGAGAAATATTTTAGTATTTTTAACAACCTTGAACTTATTTAAGGGTTTATTATTATTCATAATTAGCTAATAATTTTATGATACATAAATTGAACTATTAATTGTATAAATATGTTAGTTTGGCATTTGTTTAATTTTTACAATAAGTTACTAAATGATATTGGATAGAATGAATCTTGAAATACTAAAGATAATCATTTGGATTTACTTTTTGAGTTAAAGTAGTCTTTCTTTATTAATTATAAATTATGAGAAACAAGTAGAATTTGAAGTAGTATTACAAACAATATCAATAACTGTTTTGTATATAAATATTTATCTTTCATAAATCTTAAACTATGAAGATAGATAAAGATTTATTGCTATGTTTATAATAATAATATCAATCATGATAGTTTATGAAATTTATATTTTAGAAATAATAATTTATTTATTGGGAATTGCAGGATTAACATTTTTTTGTTAATTTCAAGAGAAAGAATTATTATTCAAGAACTATTTAATAAGTTTGTAATTATCAACACAAATTGCAAAATATGAAAATATGCTACAATATTTAATGCCTCCTCATGCTTTAAGAAGATTGTTGAATCCTGATTAAGAGAATACAGATACATTTATGGATGTATTGGAAAATACCACAGTATTATTTGCAGATATTGCTGGTTTTACAAAATATTCAAGTTCTGTTGAACCAGAAACCGTAGTTGATATGCTTAGAAATCTATTCTCTAATTTTGATTAGTATTGTTAGAAGGCTGAAATCTATAAGTTATTTACAATAGGAGATTGTTATGTATGTATGGGTGTTTTGGATTGTAAGAAGAGAGACCCTGCAGGAGAAGTAAGTCTTAATTTTAAAATAGGCTTAAAAAGTATTGGCTTTTGGTTTTAGTATGATTGAAATCATCAATCATTATAAGAAAGACCCTTAATATTAACATTTAAATATGAGGATTGGAGTTCATACTGGCAGAGTTTTAGGAGGTGTTGTAGGGACAGATGTTGTTAGATATGATATTTATGGGGAAGATGTTACAATAGCAAATCTGATGGAATCATCAGGATAAGTAATAAATAAGTTTATTTTTTAAGGAAGGGAGAATGTTAGTTAGTGAAATTACAAAGAATTTAGTTGAAAGTGAATATGAAGGATTCTAATTTGATTATGCCAAAGATGTTTATCTTCCCTCAAAAAATATAACCATATCTACTTACTATGTATAACCTAGTGATGTAGAGTACAGTTAAAATGATTGATTTTTCTTCCTTAAA